TGGTGAAATCTTGAATTTCTTGAACGAACACTTGAAACCTTGAACTTTTTCTCCTCTTAAATCTTCTCTCTAAAATCCTAAATGCTTTGGTGATGAATAAAACTGATTCTAATAAGTTTAGACCCTTAATTGAGTGTAATTCACGTTTAGACTAAGTGGGGGTAGGGAAAAGACTAAAATACCCCTCCTTAGTTCGGGTGGAAAGGCCCTATCTAGAGAGGCTGCACTAACACGGTCATATCTCCCTCATACGGACTTGAATTTTAGCAAACTTGGTGGCGTTGGAAAGAGGACTCAAAGATCTTCAATTTGATATCTCATGGGTCTCCTAACTCTTCTGTGCCAAAAGTTATGGTCGATCGAAGTTGACCAAAAACTTAAAAGAACTTACGAATGACTTGAATGAATTCTCTTTAGTTATTTTTGGAATTCAAGGTGCTACATCTAGTAAATGTAACGCTTAAGAAAATTTAAATTCCTCGGTAAGAATCTTACTCACAATGAAGAATAGTTTGTCTTAGCTCAAAAAATTTCTGAGGTGTTACGGTAAAACCCTGAAACGACAGTCATAAACCCTCTTTGATGTCGCTTAAGCAAACACAAGCTTGCTTAAGTGAACCCCACATAAAATGGGACTATCAAGATCACAAACAAAGCTTCGCTTTCGCGAAAGTAAAAAATGAATGGGCCTTCTGTCACGCCCATAGTCCACACCCTAGACGCGATCGACATTCGATAACCATTTTTGATCCCCAAGTGAATCCTTGGCCTAAATAACTATAACTCACATGACTCTTATGAATATTATATACTTGATAGATTGGAAACGTTCAGAGGCATTGAGGAAAGGAAAAGCATTCGAGAATTAGCTTGCTTGACTTCAGTTCTTCGGTTGAGGTAGGTTATGATTTATTCTATGTGATAGAGAGAATCTTAATAGTGATTGATAGTGATTGAGTAATACTATGAAGTTTTTTATGTACTTAATTGTTGTGGTTTGAATGATTCATGTGTTGTTGTGATTGGTCAATAATTCGAAGACAACGAAATCCATAATTTTAAGCTTGCTCTATCAAATTGATGTCTTGAATAAAGAATACTTGATAATATATTGTTATTAAAGTGGAAAGTGATGATAAAGAATGATGAATTAGCTCTATGGTTGGATTAGATGCCACAAGCCGATACGATATATTTAGATCGAGTGCAACAAGAGGACACAATATTATTGGATCGGGTGTCACGTGCCGGCATGGTATCATTAAAGGAAAACATATTAAAATAACTTAATGTACTCAATCTCAAAGAACTCTTTTTCCAAAAGAGTGTTTGTGGAGGCATGAGTACTTATGTGTGTTCTTGATATTGTGACTAATTACGTACTTGCTGCATTACTCTTTTCACTTGTTCATGTTGTTTGTTAACTGCCACCTGCTAAGTGTTATAGTTGATTTCATGTTATAACTTATGCATATTGGCTTATATTTTGAGTCGCGATATCTACTCACTTCATGTTGCCCTGTACTGACCCCTACTTGTGTTTTTCTTCATTTTCCTTTTGTGGAGTGCAACAAGTATACCAACGACTTTGACTCGCCCTCAACTCTAGTCAAACTCCACCACATCAGGTTCCAAGGTGAGCTATTCATTCTAGCTTATGTTGGATTATCTCGATCGTTGCATGATGTCCTTAGTTTTAGAATGCAGATTACTTTATTTATTTATTTATTCTTGTGTCGTTAATACTCTTAGACTTAGTATTTTGGGATCATATGTCTTTGATGTGATGACTTTCAGATTTTGAGAAACGGTATGTAATAGACTCTAGATGATTTTATATTTCTTACTTTAGTAAGATTTGAGTTTCACATTATTATCATAGTGCATAAGTTGAAAAACTAATCTACGTTGAGTTTGCATTCGTTGGTTAGCTGACCTAAAAGGTAGGGCTGGGCATTCGGTATTTCGGTTCGGTTTCGATTTTTTTTTTCGGTTTTTTCGGTTTTCAGTTTTTATACAACGTGTACCAAATACCGAACCGAAATAATTTGGTTCGGTTCGGTTTTTATTATTTCGGTTCGGTTTATGTTATTTCGGTTCGGTTTTTGTTAGTTCGGTTTTTTTGTTATGGGCCTGCTTAGTGGGCTTTTTAAAATTTTGTAATTTTTTTGTTTATTTTATTTATATTTATATCTTTTTACTTATTTTACTCTATTTTTTAAATTATTGTATGATGAAAAGTACTAACTACGAAACTGTCGTTATCAATTATCATTGAAATTTGCCCTTGTTAATAAATTATAATTAAAATACTACTAAAAGTGTAAAAGCCAATAAATTATAAATTTAAATTAAGTACTACTAAAAAAGCCTTGTGAGTAGTTCCAACTTCCAAGTTCCACACTTGTTATCATTGTTCTTTTTTTTCTTTAAAAAAGTAACACACAATTACACAAATAGGCAAAGAGTTGTGATACAAATCTCTTTAACATTATTATAAAATACCATAGTTTTACTCAATGAATGTAGGGCAACTCAATTAAACTATCAACCTTTAATTTCCTGAGGAAACATTTAAATCCATTTTTATCCCCCTCAAAAATCGAATCAAAATGAATGAATCCTTAGAATAATACGAAATGATGTGGCGGTTTTAGGCCAAAAAGGCACTATCAAATAGGCCAAAAGGCACTAACAAGTAACAAGTAACAATTTAACAAGTAAATAAACTTCACTACACTTCACAAATACAATAATCAATTGATCATGCCATTACACAACACAATAACAATCTAACAAGTAGCAATAATGCACCAATGTAGTTTTCATGAGACCACTTTCAAGTTTCAAGTGTCAACAATAACAAACAACAATAATGAGCAACAAACAATGTAGCCTCTTCCATGAGACCACCTTCAAGTTTCAAGTGTCAACAATAACAAACAACAAACAATGTAGCCTCTTCCATGAGACCACCTTCAAGTTTCAAGTGCCAACAATAACAAACAACAATAATGAACAACAAACAATGTAGCCTCTTCCATGAGACCACTTTCAAGTTTCAAGTGCCAACAATAACAAATAACAATAATGAGAAACAATGTAGTATCTTGACTTTCTTCCATGAGACCACTTTAAAGTCTCAAGTGCCAACAAAATTACCAAAACACTAACAAAAACTTGGTACTTTACACCTTTCTTCATTGTCTCAACTTTGGACCTTTTAAAATAAAATTAAATGTTAGAATACTACTTTTAAGATTAAAAAAAATGATATGATTAAATAAATGACGTATTAAACTCACCACTATTAAATACTTGAGACTTGCAAGTCAATCATAGATCAACAATGGAAGAGTTTCTTCCACTATTTGCCATCTCTATAAATAAGAAAATCAAATATGTCATACAACACAATAAGTCTTTTATTTTTTCCAAAAACAAATAAAAAATAAAAAGTCTTACCAAGTTCAATTTTTTCAAGAAACTCCAAACTTTCTTCAACACAAATAGGCTTAGTTTCTTGTCTAAGCCAATCTTGAACACAAATAAGGCATTGCACACATTTGGGAGTCAATGAACTTCTAAAGGGATCAAGAATACGACCACCCGTGCTAAATGCACATTCCGATGCCACACTCGACATAAGAATAGCCACTACATCTCGAGCCAACTGTGAAAGTATAGGAAATCTAGGAGAATTAACTTTCCACCAAATCAAAATATCAAAGTCCTCAGATTCAGGCTCTTGGTCTTCAAGAAAATATCTATCCAACTCAGATTTAACACCTAAACTTCCAGAATCTTCCCTTTGTTTCTTCATGTAAAACTTAGTTCTCAAAGAATTTGTTTTCACATTTTGAGAAAGACCATAAGTAGATGAATCAGAGGAGTCAGATGAAGATGATTGATTTTTAGAACCTTTTGCATACTTACTTACATAGATCGCAAACAAATTCTTTAAGTAAGCATTTACTTCACTATTCACTATCTGTCCCTTTTCTTCCCCAAGTAATTCTTCAAGAGCAAAACTAACATACATAAATTTATTGCGAGGATCCAAAACAGAAGCAATAAAAAGCATTTTGTTCATCTTTTCAGGAGTACCCCAATATTTCTTGAACTTTTCTTTCATCCCCGAAGCCATTTTACTCAAATCAACATCATCACTTGTCATACATACTTTCAAGTATGCATCAAGCTCACATATATCCTCAAAATGAACATTACAAGTAACATACCGTGAACCTGAAACTTTCAATGTGAGCTCATAAAATTTTTCAAGAAACTTTGTGATATTCCTCACATTAGCCCAATCCTCATATTGAATTGAACCTGCAATACTTCCATCTTCACAAACATCAGTAGCAAGAAAAGAATTAAAATTACCATCATAAAGATCAAACCTCTCAAAAGCCTTTTCAAATTTTTCTGCCGTGTCCAACATCAAATAGGTGGAATTCCACCTAGTAGGCACATCTAAAGACAACATTTTATCACATTCTATTTTTTGCATTTCAACACATTTCAAGAAGTTCCTTGTCCTTGTAGAAGATGATCTAACATATTTCACCATTTGTCTCACCCGTTTGATAGAAGGACCAATTTCTTTCAAACCATCTTGCACAATTAAATTAAGTATGTGAGCCATACATCTCACATGGAGATGCTTACCTTCCATCATATTAGTTCCCACATATCTAATTTTTTGGACAACTCTAAAACCGCCACATCATTTGAAGAAACATTATCAACCGTAACAGTAAAGGCATTGTCCAAGTTCCAATCAAGTAAACAATTACTAATACACTCAGCCAAATGCTCACCTTTATGACTAGTGATAGGACAAAAATTCAATATTCTTTTATGAAGCACCCAATCCCTATTAATAAAGTGAGCAGTCAAACACATATAATTGATTCTTTGCACCGAGGTCCATGTGTCCGTTGTGAGACAAATTCTTGGTTGTATTTCTCTAAAAGACATTTTCAAATTCATTCTCAATTCACCATAAACTTCATAAGAATAATCCGAAACAAAGGTTGAACTTTACTCATAAACTTCTTAAAGCCTTCTTTTTCAACAAAACTAAAAGGTAGCTCATCCAAAATTATCATCTCAACTAAAGCTCTCCTACATACCTCTTGCTCAAATTTCCAAGTCTCTATCGAAGAACTGTTACTTTGAATATTTAACAATTTTTGAATGCCAGGTGCAACAGGCGGGGGCTTATACACTTTACATCGGTTAGTCAAATGTTGTCTCAGTCCACTTGTTCCATTTCTAGTTGTATTAGCAGCATAGTTCTGTTTACAATGTAAACACTTTGCTTTAACTAATAAACCATTTTCAAAAGTTTTTTCGAAGTGTTGCCAAACAGTAGGCCTAGGATCTATTTCTTTTCTTTTTTTTGTTTCCTCTGTGCCAATTGAGGCATCATTGCTAGTAGTATGTGTATTATCCGTAGAATCAGCCATACTTATTCGACTTTGATTAGCCACACCTACATTTGATTGATTTTGTTCAGCCATCTATATAATAAAAAAAATCATTTCACAATGAATTCACACTTACAATATTAAGGAGCAAATAAGGAAAATAAAATGACAATTGGATGCATTTTTTCATTGTGGTTTCTTTTTCTTTATTACTTTTGCTCTTTTTTTTTTGTCTAAGATTTGACCCTTTGCTAGAAATTAGAAAAGACAATATTACAATTATATAAATGAGCAAATCAAAATAAAAAAATAAAGTTTAAATATAAAAATTAAAAATATACAAATTTGAAATCTTTATTAGTTTATTTTAATGGATAGATCAAAATCCAAATGCACTAAAATATTCTCAAGTAATTGACTAAATGCAAGTTAAAAACTTAAAATTATTTTATATATTTATAAGAAAAAAATACCTCAAAGCTGATGGTTGTCGCTGTCGGTCGTCGGCTGCTGCTGTGCGTGGTGCTACGGGCTGCCTGAGATCTGGTGGTCGACTGGGGCTGGTGGCTGGCGGTTGCTACTGCTGTGTGTGCTGCTGGTCGACAAGACTGGAGGCTGCTGCTGCTGGTCGACGGAACTGACGGTTGCTGACTTGCTGGTTGTCGCCTGCTGCTGGTCGCCGACTGTTGCTGGTTGTGCGGCTGCTGGCTGCTGCTAAAGCCTAAAGCAGATCTTAGAAAGTTAGAATAATAGAATTTAGTAAAGTAAAAAAATTGAAAAGATCAAAAGGTTTAAAGAGTTTTGACCTAATTTAATTAAAAATATAATATTTATTATTTAATATAATATATTTCGGTAAATCGAAATACCGAATAACACAAAAATTACATACCGAAAATTGAACCGAAATACCAAAAAATACAAAAACATACACCGAAAACCGAAATACCGAAATACCGAAACCGAAATAGTTCGGTTCGATATTTCGGTTTTTCGGTGTTTTTGCCTAGCCCTACTAAAAGGTTAAGTATGGGTGCCCCTCATGACTCATTTTGGGTCGTGATAAAATCACCTCCAGGGGTTTTTAAAAATTCAAAATGGGGTAAAACCCTGAAACGACAGTCATAAACCCTCTTTGATGTCTCTTAAGCAAACACAGGGTTGCTTAAGCGAACCCCACATAAAATGAGACTATCACGATCGCAAACGAAGCTTCGCTTTCGCGAAGGTGAAAAACGAATAGGCCTTCGAAAAGTAAGGGTTTGACCAGACGACCCCTTCGTGAATGTGAGCAGGTATTCACTAACGTGACCCCCGCGAAAGCGAATACCCTTCGCAAACGTTCAATCTACAATAATCGAATACACAACCAACTCTCAAAACATTGAAAGGATCCTCGGGATTCATTCAGAACCCCATACACACAAATTGTCATGACCCAAAGTACAATCTAGACATGACATGACATATAAGACCCCGCTAGGCCCTACACATGCCACTTGACATACATATACAAAAAATAATAGACAAAACTAACTAATCTCACATAAATGGAAAGTTTGACATAAAAGCGAAAGTTTAACATAGTCTTGAAGAGCCATCTAATACATCAAAAGAAGTGATCGAAACGTAACCCGTACAACATCCAAAAAGTAGATACATATGAAAGCAATAAAGGTGATTTAGTCCTCAGAGTATAAAACCAATCGGTTAGCTTGACCTTGCCTCATCATTAGGATTACAAGATAATTGTTAACGTAGAAAAAAGGGGAGATCGTTGCTCGATGAATGAATTGGGTCTTAAAGATGGAACAAAAGGACAGATACACTAGATATGTTTGTACGAGATTCGATAAATTACAAAGAAATATTAGATGACACACGTAACAATATTCCTAAGTGGAGCATTTCTATTGGAAATAGTCCTTTAGGGGTTTAGTGGAATTTCTTATTGATTAATGTATTATATTTGTTATCTATAAATATTATTCTTAGCATAATTGTAAAAGTTGAATTCTAAACAATAAAAAACAATACAATTATATTCTTGTGCTTTAAGCTTTCTATTATTTACTAAGCCTTATGTCACGGACTTAGAGTCTCACTAATGCTCCGTGCGGCACTTGACAACTTACTCACGAATCTTTCATGATCTTGTAAGCTCAAGTAAGCCCTTTGAAACTAGGATCGCTAAGAGAATGAAAAGGAAGACTTAGAGAATTTTGGAAGAAGACTTTTGTATTGCTTGGAAGAATGCTTTACACTTGAGTGATTGCTTGGATGGTTGGATGGTGCCTTGCAAATGAGAGGCACCTCCTATTTATACTAACTCCTAGGGACTAAAGTACAATTTTAAATTACTTTCTAAGTCCCTAAACTTATTTACACTTTGGTCCTAGCTCTAGAACTTTCTACACACTCTAGGACCTTCCATTGCCTTCTAAGTCATTCTAGAGAATTCTAGGGAATTCTCTAGCCTTCTTGAATAATCTAGAGGGTTCTAGAGTCTTCCGGAAACCTCTCCACAACTCTAGACCCTTCCGCCCCTATCCGAACGCAAAATTTAACTGTGATGTGGTGGGACGTGACACTCTCCCCCACCTATTGATGCGACGACCGCGTCGCATTGCTGCTACATCGTCATCCGAGCCTTGTGCGTGCGCGACCAATAGTCCATTGACTCGATTAAGGCCCTTGCGCAATGCCTTCAACATCTTCCATAGCCCTCTTAACTCGGACTTATGGCTCATCTCCTTCTTAGGATGTGCGCGCCTCGGCAGCTTCTTTGGCATCACGGCATTGTTCTCTTTTGGTACCTTCTTCATGCACGATGGCAAGGACCTTCTTGCACCATTGTCCTTCTTCGAACTTGCAATGGTGGCTCTAGACATCGACTCCTTCTTCTTAGGGTTTTTCTCGAGTTGCATGGCCGTTAGGCGGACTTGTCCTTCCGTCTTCGGCACCTTGACAATGGGCACCATACATGATCTTCCTTGCTCCATGACTAGAAGTCGTTGAAGGTAGGGGTCGATCACCGCGTGGAACTGCTGGAAGAACTCATGCCTAAGAATTATGTCAAAGAGATCTAAAGGAGCGACAGTGAAGTTGGTCTTACCTTGCCACTCGCCTAGCGTGATGCTCACTCCATGCGCGACTCCACTCACAGGAGTCGACGGTGCATTGACCGTCCTGAGTTGGGCGTTGCTTGAACTGTAACTCAACCCCAACCTCGTTGCTGCCTTTTTGGTCATGAGATTGACCTCTGCACCCGTGTCGACCAAAGCACAAACGGGTTTTCCATTGATCTTAAGGTCGACATACTGCGCGCTGTATCCTCTTGGCTTCTCTGGATGCTTTGTGATGGCTCCGCATAGTCCTATCAAGCCCAACTGTGTCGTCTCTGCGCCTTGTCCTTGCTCATGTGCGTCTTTCTCCTTCCGCTCTCGCAGGATAGCACCAAGGCTCTTCAGTTCGGGGCACCTTGCATAACCATGCGGCCCGCCGCATATGTAGCAGCCATCTTTGTTGGCAACCTCTATCTTCCTCTCCGTGTTGCCATGACGTCCAGACTTCTTGCCATCAGACTTATATGTGTCATGCTTCTTGGGATGTGGCTGTTGCTCCTCGCCTTTGCCACGATCTCCCCCACCATGGTTATGACTACCTCTCATCTCTTCTCTTCTGGCTCTGTCGGGCTTCTCCTGCCTAAAGTCTATCAAAGCTTCGGCTTGTGTGATGGCTTCATCTATGGTCCTGACTTGTCGATGTTCCAGTTCCGTCCTGGCCCAATTTTGCAGCCCATCCATGAAGTGGAACAACATATCATCATCCGTGAGGCTAGGAATTTAAAGCGTGAGGGTAGTGAACTCCTGCACATATGCGCGGATGCTGCCCGTTTGCTTCAGCTCCCTAAACTTGCGTTTCGCCTCATAAATGACGTTGTTAGGGAATAAGGCTTTCTTGAACTCCTCCCGGAATTGCTCCCAGGTGTTGATGGTGCACGTCCCCTTCCCTATCTCGGCCTCCTTGTGCCTCCACCATAGCATGGCCATCTCCGAAAGATACAACACATCGGTGTTGATCTTACTCTCGTCGCTCTTCAGCCCGTTGCACTTGAAGTAATTCTCCAAATGCCAAAGAAAATTCTCCACCTCTTGCGCGTCACGGACGTCTTTGAACATAGGTGGCTTGAGAGCCTCGACCCTGGCCTCCCTATCTCGGTCAAGCGACGATGATCCTCCAATTGCCACACCTTCCTTGAGTGCTTTCATCTCGACCTTCATGGTCTCAATCATGTTCAACGCCTCCATGAGCCGACACTCCAAGGAAGTGATAGCCTCCTTCATCTCAAACTCGACCCGCTGACGTCCCTCCAACTCCTTATGGATGTTTTCGATCTCTTCAAGGGTGAAGTCCTCAAGAGTCTTGAACTTGCCATCAACCACGTTCAAACGCCGGCCTAATATCTTCACGGATTGCCTCGCCACTTCAACCCCTGCGACCCATTCTTCTCCAGCGGTGACGTCAATAGGCTCCTCGCCATGTTCATCGTCACTTGCTTCGGTGGTCGAAGGTGGATGAGATGTTAGCGCCTCGCTTGGTGTGGGATCCAACATCATTTCCTCATTACTCTTTTGGTGCTTCTTTCCCTTTCGGGCCTTCTTTCCACCATCCAGACAGATGTTGGTGGTGCTAATGGCGTTTACGTCCCCTTCGGTTGCCATTCCCTTAGTGCAAACCTTCGTTCTGATACCACTTTGTCACAGACTTAGAGTCTCACTAATGCTCCGTGCGGCACTTGACAACTTACTCACGAATCTTTCACGATCTTGTAAGCTCAAGTAAGCCCTTTGAAACTAGGATCGCTAAGAGAATGAAAAGGAAGACTTAGAGAATTTTGGAAGAAGACTTTTGTATTGCTTGGAAGAATGCTTTACACTTGAGTGATTGCTTGGATGGTTGGATGGTGCCTTGCAAATGAGGGGTACCTCCTATTTATACTAACTCCTAGGGACTAAAGTACAATTTTAAATTACTTTCTAAGTCCCTAAACTTATTTACACTTTGGTCCTAGCTCTAGAACTTTCTACACA